AGGCCTACTTACAGAATAAGTGTTGCCTCACTCAAAGTGAGAACCTGAAAAACCTTAGCTTAAAAGGGCCAAGGGAGACCTTGGCATCTGGGCCATCTCCAGTCGTCTTGATCAATATCTGCCCACTAGACCCAGAAGGCTCTAGAGGAGAAAGTGAGGTTGGTGACTTTGCACAGCCCTCTCTCACTCAAATCAAAGTCAATTGCAAGTCATGTCATCATCTCCCTGATGTCATGATCCTCTTCGAGAACAAAGAACAAACCACAACACAAGAGGAAAATCAGATTCAAACTGGCTTGAGCATTTTATCACAGGAATTAGGGAAGAAGGAGAAGTTTTAGGATAAAAAGCAGAATGAAACGCCTAGGGTAGGAAAGGATAGAAGGAAGTCTGGGCAAAAAGAGAGAATGAGGTGCTCGAGACCTGACCAGTGATGAGGAAAGAGAAAGTTAATTATTCTTTTCACCCTATCCGTTGCCAAAGCCCTTGCTGAAGTCCTTTAGCCTCTGGTACATGCACAACAGGGGAGCTCAGAAGATAATGTCAAATTCAGTCATCACTAACTTTGTGATGCAGCCTCATCATTACCTGAAGCTTTCTGCAGTGCCTCAAGTCATTTAGAAGTTCACACCATGGGCCACCACACAAGTCTCTCCCCATGGAAATACAACATAGAAAAATACAGACACAGATAAGGTATGTACAAAGAAAGCCACAAAAATAACCATACTTCTCAGACTGGCATTGCTCTGAAACACAGAGGTCTAATATGATTTCCTATCTCTACTGCCTCACAGCACAATCAGATATTAAGTATGAAGGCTAGTTTAAACACTAGTCTTATGGCTACAGGCAGTCAGAGTGGGAGAGAGGTAGCTATCCTTAGAGTAATTGTCAGCAGCTGTTGCTGCCACTTTTTCTTCAGCAAATCAAACGCTCAATCTCTGTGATTGTGGTTATGTAATATCCTCTTCAGACACATCCTAGACTCACTCAGGACTGATATACAAAGAGGAATAGTTAGTCCCAGAAAGCAGTAGACTAAAGAAGATGAAGAGAAAGGAAAATAATGATATCCTCAATTTATGGGAAGGAAGGGAAAAAATATTGTTTGAGTCACTGGGTGAACATAAATAGATACCTCTAAGTAAGGGACTAGAAGTTACTATGCACTATCATTCATCTTCTCCTAAAAGAAAGCTATTTCTTTTTATTGGGGGAGGTAGGCAATGGGGTTAAGTGACTTACCCAGGGTCACACAGCTAATGAGTGTTATGTGTCTGAGGCTGGATTTGAACTCAGGTCCTCCTGACTCCAGGGCTGGTGCTCTATCCACGGCACCACCTCGCTGCCCCTGCTATTTCTTTTTAAAATAAGGGTACAAGAACATGCAAAATTCTAATACTAGCATATTAAAGAAATGATCTCTGTACATAGGGGCTAATATGTTTGGGGCAAAGACTCTTTTCTCCTTATGCAGATGCTGCTTTTCTTTAGTAGCATGTGTACCATATATAGACATATGCACTATTAAGATGTAGCCACAAAATATTGGTAGCAGAAGTCCTTTACTTGGTGGTCTTTTGCCCTAAGATAGATGTATTTGCATGGAGTTTTAGCCCAGAAAAAAAATCTTCGAACAGAAGGCATAGGATCAAAGCATCTATTCAGAATTTTTACTGTACAATGTTTTATGTTCATTAAATAAGAACATCCATATTGCAAAACAATTTTAAATTAAGTTGAATTTGAGAGAAGTCTTCCACAGTGACTCACAGCAATCTCTTTCATGGCAGCTAGTAAGTTACTTCATAGTCACTTCCCACGTACTCCCAAGTCACTGAGAAAAGATTCCATGGAAAGTACTGTCCATTGTGCGTTCCTGAAGAAGAAAGTTAGATTTAAATCTGTTTCTCAATTTGCTGAAACAAAATTCAATCTGCTGTATTTATTATTTTTCTTTAGTTCTATATCATTATTATTATATTTTTCTACATCATACTGATGAAGCAGAGTAGTGAAAAAAATACTAGACAGAAGACGCAGGCTCCAATTCCGACTCTGACAACTCTTGGTGCGTCTTGGATAAATCACTTTCCCTCTCAGAGCAATGCTCTGTTTTCTCCTCCATAACATAGGGATGCTGCTATTTATACTACCTACCTCACAAAGGTATTCACAAAAGCACTTTGAAACCGTGAAGTGTTGTAAAAAGATATGTGAATGACTATTATTAGAAAATATTAAGTCCCTTGAAGTCCTATGTACATTTTCTAGACTCAGAGCACACATCTTATGATAGGAAGGAAATGAGAAGGTAAGCAACTTGTGCTTGCTAGAAGTGACAGTTAATTGGGCTACAAAGCCAGTCTAGAATGACTAAAAATCTCTCACTTCAAGAGAATTTAGTTTTAGCCTATGAAATTTTTCAATGAGGACATCTTTATTTGAATATTGTTTACAGAAATGCATATGACAATTTAAGAAACCTAACTCTGAGTATGTGAGGCTAAGTAAGCGGGTTATCACAATTATATTTTAAAATGCTCAAGTCTAAAATACCGTTTGAAATCACAGGTAAGAGAGAAAAAATGAATATAGAGAAGAAGGTAATATCTAAGTTGGTAGTGACAGTCACAACTATATGAGTGAAGAGAAGGAACTTATATGAAAGACGTTGTAAAGATAAAAACAATAAAACTTGGCAACAGATTGACTATTTAGAGTGAGTTCAAATGAAAAGTCAAGGATGGTACATACCTAGCATATAAGCCTGGGTTACTAGGAGAAGGTGATACCCTTGACAGTAATGGAGAAGTTACAAAGAAGAGAGTTTTTGAAGTAAAGGAAAATGTGTTCTTTTTAAGACATGTAGCATCTGAGATACCATGGGATATCCATTTTGAGTCATCCAAAAGGTAATTGGTAATTCTGGCCTAAAGAGCAGGACAAATACTAAGGCTGGATATAATAGAGTGAAGAATTAGTAGCATATATAATAACTAAACCCATGGGAGCTGATGAGATCATCAAACAAGATAGCATAGAGAAAGAAGAGAAGAGGGTCCAGGACATACCCTTGGGGGGAAAAACACAATTAATAAATAGGACCTGAGTTTGTTGTTTTTATTGTTGTCTAGTCCTTTCAGTCATATCCAATTGTTCCTTACTCCGTTTGAGGTTTTCTTGGCAAAGATACTGAAGTGGTTTGCCATTTCCTTCTTCAGCTCATTTTAAGATCCCGGAAAGGCAAGTGAGAAAGAGTAGTCAAAAAATGTAGAAGGAGAACCAGGAGAAAGCATGAAAATCTAGAAAGTGGAGAGGTACAAAGGTTTAAGGAGACAAAGTAATAGAAATGGAGGCACCTAGTGAATGACTTTTTTAAGGAGTTGAGCAAAATGGAACTGATCAGACAAAATGAAGGGTTTTTTGTTTTTTGGTTTTTTTGTGTTTTGTGTTTTTGTTTTTGTTTTTTTTAGGATGAAGGGCATTACATAGGCAGCAGGAATGGAGTCAATCCATAAGGAGAGATCAAAGATAAGAGAGCAGGGTTAACAGAATGGACATTCAGTTTGAGAAAATGGGAGGAGAGGGGATCAAGATTGCAAATTAAAGGGTTTATGTTGGTAAGGCAAAAGGTCATCCCTTCTTGTGAGGGAAGGAGATAGAAAGGGAAGATCTCTGAGTGATGTAAGTAGCTGGAGTAGGGGAGAAAGAACTTTAAGCAAATGGCCTCAATTTTTTGGGGTGAAGTATGATAAAAGGTACTCAGACAAAAGAAGGAGTACTGTGAGGAGACTGAAAAGAGATGAGAATGTCTGGAAAAGTCACATTCTTGAATGAGATAGCGAATTAACTAAGGAGGTGAAAAGTACTCCCTTGCTACTGTGAGGGACAGCGTAGTTATTATGTAACATAAATTTATTTTTGTGATTTTTTTCCAGTTCTATTCAGCAGCTCATGAAAATAGCAAAGAAGGCAGACAGAATAATCTAAAATTGGTATTTAACAAGGCATGATTAGCAATAAGACACGAGAGTAAGAAATTAAAGTGCAGATGATGGTATAGACGATGTTAGCTATTATTATCGTAAACAAAGCCTTATAAGAGGCAGAAGGATGAGGAAATGCATTCCAGGTCTAAAGGCCAACCTATGCAAAGACACAAAGGTGGAAGATGGGATACATCTAGCAGATCAATTTGGAGAGAACACAGTATAAATAAATGGGATGAGAGTTCATAAAGACCTGGTCTTATAAGTAAAGAAAATGGAAAAGATATGGAAGATGTTATAGAGTAGAAATAACAAGACTTGGCAACTGACTGAATTGGAGGGACATGGGAAAAGAGAGAAAAGAGTCAAGGATAACCCTAAGGTTAAAAAATGATGATGACTAGGAAGGAGGCAGTGGTTTCAACAGGAATAATTAAATATGGGATTAGATGGAGAAGATAATGTACATGTTGATTTTCAGATACTGCTGGGAAATCCAGGTGGTGATGTCCAGTAGGCAATTGGTAAGGCTGGACTGGTATTTAGGAGAGAGATGAAAGCTAGAAAGACAATGGAATAAATCCCTAATTATAGGATTTCCAGCACTAATCCATGGAATAGGAAGATGTTGGCTAAGGAGAAGCATTCCCAGTAGATACAAATCTTATCAAATGAGATAATATATATGAAAAGAATACTTTGTAAACCTTAGAGCATTATATTATTATCATCATTATATTATATCATTATATTACATCATTATATTATATCATTATTATTATAAGGAAGAACTTGATAACACAACACCACTGTTAGTTCTGTGTGCTTATTCTTTATTTAAAGGGGGGAATAATGTGTCTTTTTCAATATGATTCTAACATTAGTCTCAGAAAAAATACTTTTTAGCTTGAACCTAAAATATTGAAGAACTCTTAGAAACTAAAATGAACAAAAAAATCCATCTCACTCTCATAAGTCACTTTCTTTTTTGCTTGTTATTTAAAGACATGCAAAGTCTAGAGAAGCTACTAAGAGAAGCTGTGATCTATGGCCAGCCTCGAAGTCGAAGAGCATGGAAAAAAATCCTCATTCTAGTAGAAGGCATCTATAGGTATGTGAATGACCAGGGTATTTTAATCTGTGGTCTAAATATATTTGGGGCAGCTAAGTGTCACAGCACATAGAATGCCAGGCCTGAAGTCAAGACTCATCTTCAAGAGTTCAAATCTGGTCTCAGATATTTACTAGCTATATGACCCTGGGCAAGTAACTTAACCCTGTTGGCCTTAGTTCCTCATCTGTTAAATGAGCTGGAGAAGGAAATGGCAAACCACTCCAGTATCTTTGCCAAGAAAACCCCAAATGGGGTCACAAACAGTCAAACATGTCTGAAACAACTGAGCAACAACAAAAAATAAATTTGACAGATAGGAAACAACCTACATACTCCACAAGTACACTGAGAAGTTAGTCAACCACAAGGCAATACAAAAAATCTGGTTTGGGACTGCTCTAATAAGTTAACAAGCACTGATCTGATTATCTATGGGGTAACCTTCATTGTCAGATAACTGGAAGCACAGAATCACACAGAACCTCAAAGTTGAAAGAGATATTACATAAGATCTTTGTGAACAGAGACTACTTGTTTGCAGTGTCTAGCACTGTATTCAACACAGTAAGTGATTAATATCTAAACTGAATTTGTTGACCTCAGAGGTCATCTAATACAATTAATATCTGAACAATAATCCCTCCTATACTTCTCCAAACTTTTATCATCCAGCCTTCACTTTAAGAACTCTAGCAAGGGGGAGCCCATTAACACCAGAGACAGCCTATTCCCTTTCTGAATAGCTCTAATTGTTAGGAAGCATTTCCTTACCTTATGTCTGCCTATCTGGAAATGGTTTGAAATTGTGGGAATTTTTTTCAACCTGCTTTGTGGAGGCTACATATGGAAAAGAGTTAACTTAAATTGGTTCTTTTTATAAACTTTGCTTACCATATATTGAAGACCTCTAGTCACAGGGATATTTTACCCCTGTAAAGTTTTGTGATGTGAATTCTCAAGACATTTTATATCTAATCATAGAGTATACTGAGGGGTGCCTTAGAGTATCCTCTTGAATTATCTAAGCCATTTTTCCAAAAAACCACAAAAGAGCTAACAATAGCTAAAGGGGCCATTAACATGTAGAATATTCCTATCACATTCATCTAAGGTGCCACAGGGACTACTAACCCCTTCATAGTTTGGCTTAGAAAGATTTTACGTCAAAAATTCAATTCTCTCCAGCCAACATTTTTATATTTATTTTACTAAGGGAGAAGAAAGATTCCCCAAAGTACTACCTTTGCTATCTTACTTCATATGCAGAGGAACTGTTAGCTCAACAAAATTTTTCCTAAGTTAAGTTTTAATGAATCCTAATCTTGAGTAATTAGAAAGGAGGTTCCTATGGGATAATAATACAAAAGCGAGAAAAACTGAATGATTCCTGTATCTGAAAAATAATAACATTGCTGCAAATAAGGGAGGAAAAGCAGAGGCAGCATTTTTTCTCTTTAATCTAAACTTTCCCCTTAAGTAACATAATTTTGGCCAAAACAGTAATAACAAAAAAAAAGAAATAAATGTGTTTCCTGTCAACAAATACATTTTCACAAACTGAAATTTTAAAATTTGCTTTTCCTTAAAAAAAACAACTGACCACAGCATTTATTGTACTGGCTACTGGTCAAGGCCTTGTCAACCTGCATCTGAAAAATAATAACATTGCTGCAAATAAGGCAGGAAAAGCAGAGGCAGCATTTTTTTCTCTTTAATCTAAACTTTCCCCTTAAGTAACATAATTTGGGCCAAAACAATAATAACAAAAAAAAAGGAAATAAATGTGTTTCCTGTCAACAAATACATTTTCACAAACTAAAATTTTAAAATTTGCTTCTCTTTAAAAAATAACTGACCACAGCATTTATTGTACTGGCTGCTGGTCAAGGCCTTGTCAACCTCCCCATATGTACCCTCCTTATACCTGATCTAGGAGATCTGGTTGTTTCACATACTACTACAAAGTTGTTAACTTGGCATTTACAGTTTATTGTCAGTCACTGATTTTATTTAAGACCTATCAGAGTACAAGGAAGGCAACAACTAGGAGTGTGTCCTATGCATAAAAACTGTGAGAGTACACCAGAATAATTAACTACTTATTGACCCTGAACTTGCTACTTAAAAAAAATAATGTCGTATTGACTTTATGCTGTCATAACTTCAAGCCTCATTCTTCCTCCTGTGTAATTTGTGCCAGCTGCAATGCACCATAAAACTAGGGCGAGAGAACAAACCAACTCTTATCTAAACACCTGTCATTCAGGATTGGAACAGTTTAAAAGCTGATCAGCTGAGCCAGAGCAGGCTGGACATCTCCTTTTAAGCAGAATAAACAGAACAAACTGCAAATAAACACAACTTGGCACAACTAAAGGAAAGTTAAGTTTTAAGCACTTTGATCATGGCTTAAATTAAGAGGACCACCAGCATTTTACTGTCAAATATTCTTGTCAGTTACCCAGCCTACAGAAACCACTGCAAAGGCTGGATTTTGTTCATTTCATAAGTCCAATCTCTGTTCTGCCACAGTATCCAGCAATACATGCTTAAAAGTTATGGATTTCTTGCAGAAATCGAGAAACCACCAGATTTCAAGTTTAAACATCTCTAATATTTGTAATTTAATCTGTGGTTTATATATTCACTTTTCTTATGTCCTCTTTTCAAAGAGCTCTGGAATAGGACTTTCAGGGACTCTTTCAGTTGAGAATGATGTTTCTTTATTTTTTTCTTTCAAATCAGCATATGAAACTTTCCATGAAAAGAATCCTCACCCCAAAATGCCTTTTATGGACAGGTCATAACCTCCCTGAACTTTGGTTTCTTCATCTTTAAAATGAAAGGGCAGGCTAAATTATCTTTGCCTCCAACTCAATCATTGTATAATTCTATGATTTTGTGTGACCATTGCCATAACTCAACATGGAGTGAAATAATCTCCAGTTGATTTTTCTTAAGAATAATGTGGGAGAAAGCTAGGTGGCACAGTGGATAGAGCACTGGCCCTGAAGTCAGGAGGACCTGAGTTCAAATCTGGCCTCAAACCAAACACTTGACACTTACTAGCTGTGTGACCCTGGGCAAGTCACTTAACCCCAATTGCCTTTAAAAAAAAAAGAATAATGTGGGAATTTTCATTTTCAAAAATTTTGTTGGTATGTAATTTGTGGACATTCACACAGACAGTCATTGGGCTACTTTCAGAGTTTCAATATCATGATTTGTTTCTCTTTTCTACTCCTTCCAAAATCACTGATCCATTACAAAAGTAGTCAACAGCAGAAAAAGAGTCAAGGGAAGGTTAAGGACTATTCAGAACTAAAGTGTCAAGTCACTGATGATTCTTGGACCCTACTTAAATAAAACTACTTTAGTGTCACTAAGTAGTTACTGTATTTAAAAGATGGATCAATATGCCATGAATAAGAGGAAAATGGCATTAACTTAGAAAAGGAAAGTGAATACAGGACCTTTATTTGCTAAATGCATACTGCACCTTGTATTATACCTGTTAACATAATGCAAACATAACATAGCCAGCTGTAACACTCAAAAGAGAAGTATGGCAAAAAATTGGAGGGTCACAGCTTTCAAAATACTAGCAAAGTGACAATTATGAAGAGATGATTAAAAGAGAATCTACAGTAACTTTGTAAATGCAATAAACTGTGGAGAGACACAGAGGAAACCAGGAAAATGTCTAATCACTCTTCTACCCAAAGTTCTTCATGGACTAGAAAATAACTCTGGTATCCCAACACCTAAGTCTTCTTTTCTCCTATCTATGTGCTACATTCTAAAGGAAATAAACATGAAAAAATTACTAATATGTGCACAGGCAAGGAAAGCAGGGAGCTGTGTGATACAAACTGAGAAGTTTGTGAGCATCTAAAAAGGGAAGCAGTAGTCCCTATGAGTCAGCAAGGGTTCACTAAGTAGTTAAAAAAACTAGGAGTAATACTAAACTGGCCTCATTTCCTTTTTATGAATGGTTATTAGACTTTCAAATCAAGAAAATATTCTAGACATATACATACATACATGTGAATATAAATATATCTATATGGATTTCTGGAAGACACATGATAAACTCATGATATCCTTTTCAAGAAGATAAAAGAAATGTAGGCTGGATCCATTTTAGTGAAATCCTAGCTGTATGATGACCATAAATAGTCTTAATTAATATATTTATGTCATCACATAAAAAATTTTCTAGCAGTATGCCACAGGATTCATTTCTTGTTACTGCTCTGTATAACATTTTTTAATCAATAGATTATCATTTTGTAAGTTAGGGATAAGGACTAGATTGAGATCTCATTAGTATCAGGAACTCCTAGATGAAGAAATGCCTTCTAACAATGCAGATCAGAGCCTTCTCTGAACTTAGAGTCTTAGAGAATTGCCAAGAGCTTTGACAGATTAAGTGACTTGCTCAGGATCACAAAGTCAGTATGTGTAAGAGTTCGGACTTAAAACTATGTCTTTCTGGTTTTCAAGGCCAGCTCTCTATGTAACAGCAGGCCACCTCTCATAAACACATGATGACAAGCATATTCACTGAATTTATGGATGCCACCAAGCTACGAGATAGAATTATTAAAATGGAAGACAAAATCAAGATTCAAAAAAGGTCTTGGATCATAGACTGAAATCTGGAAAAAATGCTGGAAGTCATCTAGTCCAAACCTCTCACTAACAGAGGAGGAAAATGAGACCCAGAGAGGTTAAGTGACTTGCCCAAGGTTATACAGTAAGTGGTAGAGGTACAATTTGAACCTAGATCTTTTTTTGGGGGGGGGGAGGTTAGCAATGGGATTAAGTGATTTGCCCAGGGTCACACAGCTAGTAAGTATTATGTGTCTGAGGCCACATTTGAACTCAGGTCCTCCTGAATCCAGGGCTGGTGCTCTATCCACTGCAGCACCTAGCTGCCCCCTGAACCTAGGTCTTAAGACTACAGAGTCAGCACTTTCTTTTCCACTGTATTACATTGAAATTTAAAAGGGATAAAAATAAAATTCTATATTTAAGCTAAAAATTAACTTCTAAGTCCAGGATGAGAGGTCTAACTTAATAGTAATTCATATAAAAAAAAACCAGTTAATTCAATCACAGGCTTCATTAATATACATATAGTGTTTAAAACAATGGAGACAATAGCCTTATCATAGCCTAGTTAAGTCATATCATGTTTGGTACTGTCTCCATTCACAGATATATCCTAATCAATTCAAGATATCATTTTTCTTATATATGCTATATCATGTTTGACTTGACTTGGCTTATGCGAAGCAATGAGTATGCAAAAATAAAAATGCTCCAAATTATCCCTGCCCTTTGTGACCTTATATTTCATTGTCTTATACTATCATCACCCTAGTTCCGTGCTTCATCACCTATTACATGGTTTTCTGTAATAACCTCCTAACTGATGTCTCTGCCTCCAACGTCTCCCCAACACCAGTCTATTATTTATATAATTAGAAAAACAATCTTCCTAATGAACAGGTTTGACCCTATCATTTCCTACTCAAAAACATTCGCCCTGCTTCCTAGATAAAAAATAAATTTGTTAGCCTGATATGTAAGGCTTTTTATTATCAATTCTTTGATCTCATTCTGCAGTCTCCCATCTCTGTGTATTTCCAAAGGTCATGAACCAGACCTACACTTTAGGAGTTTACCTAAAGTTTAGGTTTTACCTAAACTTTAGGAGTTTCCTCCTAAACTGTACTTTATGAAATCCTCTTCCTTCAAGGTCCACCTCAGCTCACACCTCTTCTATAAAGTCCTCCCTGATCTCCTCAGCATTTTGTCTGGCTCTCTTTTATCCTCATCACATTCTGCTTCGTATCATACTTATCTGAGGATGTATCATGGTACGTCTCAGTAGATTAAAAACTCCGTAGAGATTCTGTCATTTCTTTTTATGAAATTTAGCATAGTGCTTGGCACATATTGGCTGTTAACAATATTTTTTAATTTGTTAAATTGTTAAATGCCAAAATGAATAATGTATTTTGCACTAGTGCATAACTCAATTCAATTAAATGTCTACTAAGCACCTACTCTGTACAAAGCAATGGAGAAGATACAAAGTGTACATAAAACATAATCTGTTCTCTCATGGAGCTTACAGTCTAATGGTAAGTATTACAGATAACTGATAACCATACTGTATAATAATAAATGCTAAGTTTATAAGCCCCAACAGGATGAGCTAAAATACGTAAAGTCATGACCAGACCTCAACTAGCTAAGAAGCATCTGGCAGACACTAAAAATTAGACTAGAAAGGAGTTGAACACTAGAGGAAGAGAAAGGCCTCGAAAGATCAGGGCATTATCATAGGTCAGGCAAACAAAGGTCAAGTTCATGGACGGTCAACTAAGAATGAAGTGAATTTTAGGAGAGTTGACTGATGCAGTCAGGTAAATAACACAGGGGAAAGGAGGAAAGGAATACATATCCAGTGGGCATTGTGCTAAATGCTTTACAACTCTCATCTCAATTAGCTGAACATCTCAATTAGGTTCAACTAAGCAAGGTAAAAAGCCTACAAGATCATATGAGTCAAAACAAACAGCATGTGTAAGTAAGTGACACTAAAAGGAAATCCTAATGCCAGGGCAGAGGCCATTTTCTTTCTCAGTGCCTTCTCTTATATTACCTGCTGGGTGTGGTCAGCACAAGGTCTATAGACAGTATTGATCAAAGTCAAGAAACTACAAATGAAACCTGACCCTGATTCATACAAAGACAGGGGTAGTAGGATCACAGAGAGGTCCTAACAGTATTTCAATTATCTACTAAAGAAAACAAACCATAATAAACTAAGCCCACCTATATAACAGGACATATGTGATGGCATTTGATTTCTTTAATTAAAATGCAATAAACATTACATCGACACAACCTGAATTTTTTCCTGAAGAAGAAATTCATAATAAAGTACATAATTATAAGTCAACATGAAATGAACTGAGTTTTATACTGTTTCTATGACCACTCTGAAATATCCAGATTGTTTTTGGCTTATTTCCAGTTATGGAATACGTATACTAGTTATACAAGTCAATAACAAAGGGGAATTTTCCAAATGATCTGGGACTTGAGGTAGCAAAATTACAGTCATAGCTTTCAACTCACTGATACTCAAGAAATAATTTGATGATCATTCACCTAATCCTAGAAGATTCAGTTCTTCCAAAGATAGTTAAGTCTTACATCAAGGAGATGTTATTTACTCCAAAAATGCCTGAGATTTCTCACCCCAAAAAAACAGTACTTGAAATTTTCTGAACTCCAAATGTCAAGCCCTATATCATTCCAGTTGCAATAAGTGAAAACATAAAAGAACAAGAAAACAAAAAGGACAGTAGTTACTTAACTTTAAAATAGTAGTACCTATTATTTCCTTTCTTATCTCAGGATATGATTTGAGCCCACAAGGAAGATTTTTCAGCCATTTAAGTTGGCAAACAATAGCATTTGTCTGTTGTTGCCATTTAGTAACTCAGATTACGTGTAAGGGGCAGAGAAAAAGGATATTTCAAAAAGAAATTTATATACTTAACTAATATGTTATCTAATAGTACATAAATATATAAACACACATATATATTTTTTGAACATAACATATATATTCACTATATTGTTAATTCAAGTATAATTCAAGGCCTTGAATATTGTTTTAAATTAGCTGGTAGAACTATTAAACAGTATTTATTCCAATAATGTTGAAACGGATGGGAGAGGATTTCCATTTCAAAGGAAAAATATGTTTAATAAGTAACAAATGTAAAGAACATTATTAGCATATTTCTAAATGTAACTCAACTTCAAATATTAAAGTACTGAAGCTAAAGGAATAAAATTTTAACCAGCCTTAATCTGACTCAAATCATGGCACACACACACACACACACACACACACACACACACACACACCTGTGAAAAGATTTTTTTTGTCTGTTTTTTAAATTTGATTCTTTACCTAGCACTTATTAAACTAGGGATACATGTCCAACCAATTTTACTGTTTAACTATCTAAACTGACCTGTCACTTAAGTGTTTAAAGTGGAAAAAAATAAAAGTATTAAATTTAGTCTTTTGCATAGTTAAATTCAGTAGAAGGAAAGAAAACATTAAAATTGGCAGTTTGACCTAACTGGCTTATTTAACTATTTTTTTAATTGAAATAATCATTTAATGCAATCAAAACTGCACAAAGATATTGCAATCAAGGTATTCTGAGAACTTATTAAAAGCTTAAAATTCCAAGAAGTTAGCTACTACATAAATTTGACATTGTTATTTTATTTTAATAAGATTTATATTCTGCCTAATTCCAAAAGGAGAAGAAGCTTATAAGTTAAAATACAAAGAAACATAAGACTAGGGATAAAAAAGAAGTTTCCATCTACAGGAAACTATTAGACATATGAAATAAACCAATTACCACAAAAAAACACTGAATCTGGCTCTATAAGCATGGTTACTTTATTATGTTTAATTCATCATAGCTTCAAATAAAGCTCTTTTATGGCTTTGTCACTGTAACCTTCACTTTTCATCAACTCAAAAGAGGGGATTGATAGGGTCTAATTGGTCAATAAACATTTATGAACCTATCATCAGTAAGTAGATCATTACATGACTGAACCAATTCCATCATTAAAAGGAATGTTATTTTTAACATCTTAACAATTAAAATTAATAAACTACACAGTGAGATCCTTTTTTCCCTTTGACCAAAACTCAATATACCAAATCAACAGATAATTGATTTTAGTTCTTCGGGAAATGTGGCAGAGAGGCATAGCCTTCATTTTCAAAACACTTAGACTCTTTCCTAGCTGCAAAAATTTTAATTTATGCTTTAAAAATGTATCTGAGAGGAAACAAATGGTAAGTACCTATCTTTAATAGAGGGTAGAAGCTAATTGTCATATCTATATTCAAAAAGGAAAAGAAAGAAAAGTTTTGCAGAGGATAAATTACAATATTAGCATTTCTCTCCATAATCTAGCATGGAAGGTTCCATTGTGCGCCTGCCTGAGATCATTGCCTTAAAGAAGAAGTACAAAGCTTACCTCTACTTGGATGAAGCTCATAGTATTGGAAGTTTAGGCCCAAGAGGCCAGGGGGTCGTGGATTACTTTGGAATGGATCCTTATGATGTTGATGTGCTCATGGGAACGTTCACTAAAAGCTTTGGAGCAGCTGGAGGATACATAGCTGGAAGAAAGGTAAAACAAAAAACCTTTACCTAGGTAAAGTATGTACATCCTGAAAACAATCTCTTGCATTAAATCTAATTTCATCACTGGGAATTTAATAAGGCAAGATTTCCTAGGCGTAAGCCATAATACAAATCAACCTGCCACACATAATACAAAGCATCCCACTACTTAGATTCATATTCAGATATGTTGTTGTTGTTCAGTCTTTCAGTCATGTCCAACTCTTCGTGACTCCATGGACTACAGCATGCCAGGACCTTTTATCCTCCACTATCTCCTGAAGACTTTCCAAGCTCATGTTCATTGCTTCCGTATCACTATCTATCCATTTCATCTTCTGCCATCCCCTTTCTTCTTTTGCCTTCAATCTTTCCTAACATCAGGGTATTTTCCAATGAGTCCTGTCTTTTCATTGTGTGGCCAAAATATTCAAGTTTCAACTACAGTATTTGTCCTTCCAATGAATGGTCTGACTTCATTTCTTTAAGTATCGACTGATTTGATCTCCTCGCTGTCCAAGGGAAGGGGTTGTTTGTTATTATATACTCAGAGCTTTGCACTATGCATGGTACATAAGTGCTTGATAACAATTAATTAATTTATTGTTCTATAGTTTGCAGACTCTATTCGCTTCCCTTTTTAAAAATCTCTCATTCTCTAATTTTTGTAAATATAACTGGCAGTGACTCAGCAATCACATTCACTAGCTTTTTAAGCACCCATGTATATAATTATTCTACCCCAGCCCTGAATTCTTCTAGGACAACTAGATGCTATTTTAGTAGCTATTAACTTATCGTGGGTATCACCTCTCCTTGTACATTTTTTTCTGTCATTTTCCATCACAAGGTCATTGGCAGAGAAAACAAAAGCCAAAAAAAAATGAAGAGCATTTGGCCTTCTATTCTCATGAGTTATCATAACATCTACCCCCAAGAAAAGAGTCCTTTCCCTTCTTCAGTCTTCATATTTCCCTTGATATCTACTTTCTTATATTAAATCAGACTCAATCCATTCCAAGCTTTAGCATTCCTGACACTGTTTTTTAGAGAACCACGTCATGCTCTTATAGTTATCCTGTTACTTGCCTTTACTTCCATCAACCGGATATGTAATTTTAAAATCTAAGTTTGTTCTCAGCACCTGGTGCTCTAGGAATGGCATCATTCTCAGCTCACTGGAGCCACTGCCCCAGAAACCCCCTCCATGATCTTCCCCCGCCCCCCAAATTCCTCTCCTCTCCCCCATATAGTTCCTGCATCATCTGGGACATTTGGACTAATTTTTCAGGGTAAGGAGAGGGCAGTCCCAGGGTGGGGATGAGGGGGAGGCATGCTACCAAGAAAGCTGCTGAGAGGAGCTCAAGAAGATAAAGGCATTGGTAACAACTGAAGCTCAGAAATTGCTGCACCAGCTGAATGTTCCATTGGAACAGAAGGTCTGAGGCCTGAGACTAATTGAATCTGCTCATGATAATGGCCTTCGGATGACTATAAGACTGAGGGACTTTGAAGTGAAAGACCTTCTTAGCCTAACTCGGTTCTCTGGTTTTGACACAGAGGCTTTTTCTCTAGCTATGAAATTATTGGGCAGGTTTTTATCCAGAATGAAGGGACAGCCCAAACACCTTGAATATGTGGGATTAAGTTGCTTCTATCTGGCTGTGAAATCAACAGAGAAGAGAGAAATGTCCCATTAGTCACTGATTTGATCTGAATAAGACAATACCAATTCTGAACTGATGAAAATAGAAAAGACTGTATTAGAGAAGTTTTGTTGGAAAGTCAAAACTGCCTTTCAGTTTCTACAGCTCTATTATTCATTCATTCATGAAAACTTACCATCTGAAAAGAGAAAGAACCTGAGTTTTGAAAGACTGGAAGCTCAGCTTAAGACATGCTACTGTAGGATTATGTTTTCTAAAGCAAAGCCTTCTGTATTGGCATTGTCTATAATTGTACTGACAAGTCAAGCACAGAAATTTATAGAATTGACAGAAGGAGTAGAATGTCTTCAGAAACATTCCAAGATAAATTGCAGAGATCTGACCTTCTGGCAGAAACTTGTAGCAATGTGCCTAACTGAATACTCATCAAACAAGTGTTCCAAACCAAATGTTCAGAAGTTGAAATGGATTGTGTCTGGCCATATTGCACATCAGTTGAAGCATAGTTATTATAAAATCTTCCAACAATCCCTGAAACTGAGTCTTAATAGGATTCTTATGGTGAAGAAATTCAACAATTTTGAAGACTTATTTCACATCATAACTGTGGACTTCAATATTAGAATGCATTTAAGCTGTGAAGTCTGAAACACAGCAACTAGGTTAGCATTGATGTTTTCAGACTAGGGGGGAAAACAGGCTATAACTGGAAACTGATTATGTGTGCTGCAATTGGAAATATGTTCAGGACTAAATTATGATCCTCCTTTAAGTATGTTTGTAAAAACTAAAAGTTAAATGTGAAACCCTAATGTGGAATATGGATGGGAGACTATACTGTAGACTGACAATTAATATTGACCCAATCTAGTAGTATCTGGATTGGTATACTTATTATAGGTAGTAATGATAGCAAGGTGTGATTGACTTTAATTGATGTTATTTGAACTGGGATATAAGTTCACATTAAAACAGATCAACTTCAGAAAAATAGTATGATGCACTTCAGTCAGGGCTACTAGTCTTTGAGGCAGTATAAAGAATCTTGTTAAAGCCTTATACAACTAGATAAACCAATAATTCTGAGGATTCATTTTTGTTTAGCATATTTTTCACTTAAATTTCATTATAAAATTGAATTAAAGTTGTAGACAGACATGTTAAATTTAAGTGATCTTCAAAATTATTCTAGGTCACAAGTGATATGGCATACAAAGTTTTATACAGAATGATTTTTATCTCAGTATCTAGCCCCTTAGAAAAAAATTAATTTCTATTATACTGTCACAGTCTGCTAATCTGAAACCTCAGCTATGCCCTTCTAAAGCAATATACACTAATGCTAACACTCTAGAGCTTTTAAATAAGGATTACTGTTGGCATGAAACTGGGGCATTAGTATAGAGCTTTGTATTTTAAAGCAATACATGTGGGATATGCTACTGTCATAATGCTCCTGTAATAGTTCAACTTAGAGAGGCTAAAGTGAGTTGTCTATCCAAATTCAAGTAAGCAGAAATTTAATTGAGTAATTATGTGGTATGAGGCTAGTTGTAGGTTAATGAATCTAAACTGACATACAGGGTTGGGAAAGCATATAGTTAATCAGTGCAAAATATAGCTTAATTTCCACAATAGCTAAAACTAGTTCAAATTTCCCTTTAACATTATGTTGTAGGTTAAAAAAAAAACAAACTTCCCTTTAAAGATAAACCAAAGAACCACAGTATGTCTCATATGTCTTATGCTTCATTTTGTAAAGTGTTTTGTAGATGCACTCTTCACTTATTCCTAAACACCTGATTCATTCAAGAATTTCCTTTGTAATTATCAATGAAAACTTGTTTGCTGAAGTAACCTAACAAAGTAACCATAATGTTCTGGTACTAAAACAGTAACCTTTCAACAAAACTATTGAAATGCAAGAATAAATAAATAAATAAGTGAAATCTAAGTTTGCTGGGGAATTCTCTGTGCATACACATTGGTCTCTTCAAACAATTCTTATTCTTCTTCTTCATCAGAACTGTTTTCCTTTCTTTCTTCAGAATTTCATTCTTGAGGGTTTCTGAACTCTCCTATTACAATTTCCCTTGTAGAATTTCAGTCCATGACATCTTCCCTATACTATCTCTGAACCCTTGAAAAATCAGTTTTCTCCAATCAAGGGTACAGTCTGACCATGCCTGGCTTACCTCCTCTCTCGTAAGCTCTAAGGAGGGTACGATCACTGTCCAATAAATATTCCTATCATATCCACCCCCAATCACCAAGTACTTCACTGATAATAAGAATCAGATTAAGGTTTCTCAACCTTTTGAAAGCTGAAATTATCATTAAGATAAGTCAACAAGTTATTAGCTGCTCCACTTCTGACAAATAGATCGATCTAATTGTGTCTGGATAACTAAAATTACCCACCATGCCAAGAATGTGATGTTTCCAGAACCCCTGATCTTCCTCTTTCTATTCAGGTGGTCTGTGGTATACTCTTGTCACCAAACTGATTCTGTTTTTCTGATCTTTATCCAAATGTTTTCAACTATGTTGTGGTTTGCTTCCTATATTTCCTTACCAGTATACGTTCTTAACATACAGTGGTATGTTAAGAAGGTCTCTGACCTTCACAAATATGAATTCCTCCCTATCAACTTCACTATTTCCTTCTATGTGCTATTCACTTCAGTTCTTCCTCTCTTCTCTAGCTTTCCTCACAGTACTCCCTCTAAGCCAATCACAGAAAAACAAATGAACATTTTATATTTGCCTGTGTAAATTTTCTCACTTCTCCCTCCCTACCCCAGCAGAATATAAGCTTTCTGAGGCCAAGAATTGTTTTTATTTTGTCTTTGTATTCCCAGAGCCTAACACTGTGCTTGATATATATACATATATATAAAATATGTTAATAATTTTTTAAATTAATTGGATACCACAAAATAATAACACCATGTAAATATACACTGGTCTTCTATAAGCCTTTATTTCACAAATAACAATTTGTATTTATATACTTTACAATTCACAAGGTACTTCTACATATATTATTGTCTTTAACAAGTAGCATATATATTATGTATAAGATGCAACATAAATCATCTTCCCATTATTAATGCAGAGAATCCAATAACATTGTTCTTTATCTCATTGATTCTGATAGCCTACAGTACAATGAAACTTACTACATGTACATGTAATAGTCAACTTCCAGAAAAAACTACATATCTATAGTGAGTTTCATATCCTTTATATTACTCTGTGACTTCTATTTTGGGCCTCAGTTTCCTATACGTACAAGAGAGGACATGCCTAGATTGCATCAAAGATCCCTCCTGGCTCT